ACGTCAAGCAATTACTAATCAATTCCCGCAATGATGTAAGCACATCCATCTTGCAGTCAGTTATTATTGTCAATTCCAATGTCTTTCTCTGCAAAAATATCCCATCCAGCAAACATGCTTTTCAGCAAGAAATGGTTTCAAATATACAGTCGCTATTAGTAAGGCATTATAGACATGAACAAGACCAGATGATAAAGATGGTTCCTGAGAGAAATATGTGAATTTTGACATTTCAACTTAAACAGCTACTCTCCACACACAACCTCCTGTAATTGGCCACCACGTTCCAGACATATATTGCTATACTTGATGTTGAACTGCCTGTTACTGCTGGAGTGTGGTGTGTATATGTCTCTTGTGTATATACCTGTGGTTAAATAGACAGGTGTGTGGGATTGATTGTTTAGTTAGGAGATTTCCTGCCTTCATTTGTTATGGGAACCTTGATATTGCATTGTTTTTTTCGCAATGTTTTTTTTCCTGTTGTCTTGAACACAAATGACAAATGCAATGGCCCTGTTAAGTCGAACAAATTATATTAACCTAATGTACATCACCGTCGATGTCAAAATGAAACTTCGAATATGTCGAATATTTTCTTAGGTCCTTAGATCTTATAATTTAGTATTAAGCACGGGGTACGGCAAGTCCCTGTTGGGGGATATTGGTTTACAGTGGGTCAAAAGGGGCCCAAATCAAACCCTTTTATGTAGTAGCTTTGCTGATAGCAATCATCCAAAATGCAAAGGTTCTGTCCAGCAAATATCTCATAGTTATTATGATACATACTATGATAAATCGGATTTAAACTAAAATCTTCAAAATATAAGCCAAACAACCAAATACCAGTAAGCCAAATGAAATTTAAATACAGTGAATGTACTTACACAAATTGTTGATCATTATATATTGAATGCATATAGCTACAGGGTGCAACTGGGTTGTATGGAGTTGAAATGAAAACACAATGCCAAAATGTGTTTTGTTATATGCGTCTGAAGAACTTAGTACGTATATACATGTCGGATATTTCCCACAATAGGCCAACAGAACCTCCAACACCCCACATTCAAATCACTAAAGTCCTGCATAGAATTGACCACAATATAATAATGTTTAATAATGCAGTAAGATAACGACTCTGGACCAGGTGTTAAGAACCATGACGTTAAGGAAGACCAACAGAGTCAGACTGTTGTGATAAGACTTGTTCCAGTTCATAGTTAGCTTAGCCCCAAGCCTGGTCTTTGTTGCTCTAGCACCAAATGAAAGCGCACGCCCATGGAATGAATGTCAGCGCATAAGGGGAGTTGAGCGGGTTTGACGTAACTGCAGTGTATCCATACAGCTACTCGACCAGAGAGATCGAGACAAGACACTAAAGGCGAGCACGATGCCCTCTAGTTGATATACACCTTTCTCTGATGGTAAAATTTGGAAGGTTATAGATGCAGACTTGTGGAAATGTTATTGGTGGTACGTCCATGTCTAATATTCTTGCTACTTTCCTCCTAAGATCGTCTCTCTTATTTTTGCCGTTTCTGCCAATGGGTATAAAGTAAGTATAAAGTAAGGTTGAGGTCGCACTCAGATATATTCGTGTCATATGACGGCTTGTATGTAATCACATCTGTGCCAGACAAACCATTGTCTGATATAACAAGCAACGTCTTAAAGTAGTCAGCCAGGTCACGGGGACTGGCCGCCCGATCCACTGAGACACGTGTACGTCAAGCACAGGTTACTGAGGGTCACGTCTTACCCAGAGTCCTCACAGAGTCGTCAGCATGCTACACTTGGCCCTTGTGTTCAGATAGAGACTACTTACGTTGTACGTTTTGCTGTGTCTATATGGACTATGTAATAGACGGGAAGAAATAGTCCAATTGAAAGTACGGAAATAATATTCCCTGTGTTTGTTTGTTGGGTAGTTGTGGAATAAGGTTTATTTATGAAGGTGGGGTCCGCAATGACAGAAAAGAATAGGTCTTGATCGTTACCAGTTTATTAATATGGAAAAATACATTTCAAGACAATTATCAGAGTTCAGACTTCGTACCATTATGGGCCATAGCACTGATCCAACTACATATTTTCGTTAAGATATCTACCACTATCTCCTGCAACGAATGTCAAAATATACGAGACAGAAACGGGAATCCATAGCCTGAGAGAGCAGGGAAACAGTGTGTTGAATGAATGGAAGAGTTTCAGTACAGAGTACAGTTACTTATCATAAATACAACCAGCACATACATGTAAGAGCATAGCAGAGAGAATGAGATAGGTGTGCGAGTGCGTGTGTGTGTGTGTGTGTGTGTGTGTGTGTGTGTGTGTGTGTGTGACTGTGTTAGCATATATACATGTATGTGTGTGTGTTTGTTCGAGTGAGTATGTGTATTTTGGCATGTGTGTGTGTTTTTCTTTGTGTATTTTTATGTCTAAGCATACATGTCAATGTTCGCATTTATGTGTATCTCTTCAGTTGTACTTAGTGATTTACTTATCAAGTATCGCCACCTTGCTAGGATTGCCTGAAGAGGTAGATGTTCCGTATGTACACTGTATTACAATAGTATAGTGCAAAAGTGATTTTAATATGAGCAGCGAGAATGTGATATTTCGGTCGAAGGTGATGGATATTACATTTTGGTCGATGTGCGAGATTTTACGTGCGGCTCAGAAGGGTGACATTCGATTTTCATTCTGCTTTCAAACACGTTGTACATTGAGCGAGGAGAATGACCCTAATCATTTTGTAAACATTTTGTTTTATTTTGCGGAAATGAAAATTTTGTTACAAGTTACATGGCCAATATGTGATAGTGGTTCAATTAAGAAATGACTTTCACTTTGTGTGAGTTCATTGGAGTATGAACCTTCATAGAGTGAGGGCCAAACTGTATGAACGTCGGAGCTTGCGAAATTCTTAGCCTTTTTTATATCACTATTTTGTACATCAAAGGATCTAGATCTATACGCAATATTTAGTACGTGTGACTTTATGTTTACACTGACAGCCATACAACAACCAGCTGTATCGCGGAATGAAATATAAATATAGTTCCTCAAAACGAGAGCTGACATGAACGTATCTGTGAAAACCTTTCTGGAAATATGAGACTCACACACCACTTTTAGTTTCTGCTACTAAAAAAATATGTTCTAGTTTTTTCCCTTTTTGTTACGTTAAAAGTTTTATTATTTGCAGGTGTTATATTATTTGTGGTGTTGTGAATGTGTCTGTATGTGTGTGATGTTGTGTATATGTGTCTCTGTGTGTTGGTATGTATTTGTGTCTGTGTATGTGTGTGGTGTTGTAAATATGTGTGTTGTGTATGTGTATGTGTGTGGTGTTATGAATGTGTGTCTCCCAATGTGTGGTGTTGCATATGTGTGTCGTGTTGTGTATTGTGTCCTCCAATGTGTGGTGTTGTGAATGTGTCTGTATGTGTGTCGTGTTGTGTATTGTGTCCTCCAATGTGTGGTGTTGTGTATGTGTATGTGTGTCGTGTTGTGTATGTGTGTCTCCCAATGTGTGGTGTTGCATATGTGTGTCGTGTTGTGTATGTGTCCTCCAATGTGTGGTGTTGTGTATGTGTATGTGTGTCGTGTTGTGAATGTGTATCTCCCAATGTGTGGTGATGTGTATGTGTGTTGTGTTGTGAATGTGTGTCTACCAATGTGTGTTGTGTATATGTGTGTCTATCTGTGTGTGGTGTTGTGTATGTGTGTCTGTGTGCGTGGTGTTGTGTAAGTGTGTACGTGTGGTTTGGTTTCGTATGTTTCTCTTTGCGTGTGTGTATATGTGTGTATGTGTCCGTCATATCAGCAAATCATTCGGGTACATATTTTCAACGAAAATAACAATTAAATGGCTCATTGTAGTACGACAAATGTTCCCCAAATTATTTCCATACAAATTTGAGTGCATCGACACTGTCTGGTTTCCGCGCTTAAACTGTCCAGTGTATATCAGTCGTTGCTCACTTGCAATCAATATTGTTTCACTTAAAATTAATTATTTGGATATGAACAGAACATGGTTACCACGTTTATAATTGAGCTTATCCGGCATATATGAATACAGGACAGGAGAAATACAAAAAACATATAAATACATACCTTTTAAAGCATTTAAAAACAGAAACAAATACAAACTAGACTGATTTGTAACAACTGTATGTATTAAAGTTCATCTGAAAAATATTACCAATATATATCTATACAGCTGTATCATTGTTATCAATACCGTGGGGAACAATTGTTTGAAGGACCCGTAAATTGTATATGGTAAACTATACCGTTTGAAATGTGACGTAAAAACATCTCTGCTATCTTTTATTAAGAAAAGAGGCTCAGCCTCTAAGACTGAAGAAAAGACATGACTCTACCCAAAAAAATAACCTCGTACTGTTGGTCGATTTTACAACTTCTGTTGCAGGTTCTGGCACTTGCCTGTATCTGCGACCTGACATAAACATGGCTTCACTCAACTCGATTCACTTGATTAGTGGTAGCCCTCACACATTCACTCTTCCTTTTTGAAGCTAAGGATATTGACTTGTGTATATACTGTAACCAGGTCGACTACTTACAAAGCGGCATGATATTGATGCACTCAAATTAAGAACACTAACAAGGGTGAAGTTTGATATAGTATGAGATGCTGCATATGACGTATTAGAAAATTGGTGAATGCATACGATTTTCAAATTCAATTCTTTAAATACGAATCTCCAAGAGTGTCGGTTTTATACAGTTGTTGATTTGTTGAAAATTATTAGGTAAATAAAACTGACAAAACCCTTTCCATATTCATATAAAATCAATGCTGAAAGTAGAGTTAACTGTACGATTCCGACCATGTCATGAACATGTTTATGAAGCACACTAAACTACTGGTAGATGAGGGTATCCTGCCCCACCGGTGGCACCTGTCAAAAACACATGCAAAGGCGCGTTGTTTGTCACCTCGAAAAAGGAACACGGCATATAGATAAAGATAATATTATTGAGTTTATTCAACATTGTACACATATACTTATACGTAAACCAAGACTTTTTACAATCATAGTTATTTAAATGTATCATTTACATTATTAAGTACATTATTATCATACAATACAGTACACAGGCACTAGCATACACACACATTTATGATTATTAGACATTATGTGACATCAATTGTTGTTATACCATGATATATTAATAAAATCCTTCAATTATTTCTTTGAATCAATAAATGTCAGAAACAAAAGCAGGGACACACACACACACACACACACACACACACACACACACACACACACACACACACACACACACACACACACACACACACACACACACACACATAAACTGTGAATTTCTTATTTTCCTCGCCATTCGAGACTGTTCATTTCGCAAAGAGCCATTTTTGTTACTTGACCAACGTGTATTATTTCGCGAGCCACACCTGACTCGTAGATTTCAAGAATAGTTTTGCTTAAGTTGCTTTTCTATATAATGATATCTAAATGATTGATACAGAATTTTATTGACCCTAAATAGTTTTTGTTAATTTTGTTATATTGTTTAAGGTTTTGGAAACACACACACACAAATGAAAATTAAATATCAAGGAAATAACATGTTATCGCAGAATTAATCTAATAGAGTTCTCTTCTAAATTGTTGTCATAAAACATTGATGTAAATGGCTACCAACAACACTGCATAGAACATAGAACCGCACTGAATTTTTGAGAAAACATAATTGGTATTGTGTCGTCCAAACGGTCAGAGCGAAATACAAATCACGTCACCGTCAGCATAGACGGTCTACCAAATGGTCACCAAAAGAACCACTAAAACGTCATAAAATGTGTTTCATATGAATTTAGAACCGCACTTGATGTTTGAGAACACATGATAGAGAGATATCTATCGGTCAGAATGAAGTAGGCCAAAGTGCTCGGAGGGTTGCAAACGGGTTTAACATTGTGTCTGCCAACCTGTCCCCTCCAGGCGAGGTTTAATGCAACTGACGTCACCAACGACAGTCCCCGCAGTGGTCGACCGGGAGCGACGTCAGCACGGCAAGACCATCAGCAGGTCAAATGCATCGTAGTCACCTGTAAGAACTCCTTCGGGCCTTTGAAACTGCCTGAAACAACATTGGAATCCATGGCAACCCTTACATCATGATGCATCGTTTGTCTAAAGATGTTTTGCGATGCAAGAGTTCCGTTATTGACTCAACGTCACCGTCAGCGTAGTGGTCTTAGAACCATGCCAATTGGCATCAACAATTCGGACACAGCATTGTAATTATACACATCACAAGTTACACAATCACTGAGGTATTTCAGAATGTCTTGATTCAACAATGATCATTTCACATGTATGCCTGAATAGCGAAAGTAGTTAGGAAGCTTGAATGAGTTTGGCGTAGCGCCTCTTTAAACAGTAGTTTAATTATATATCACTGTGTTTCAGCTTGATGTGAGAGGAACGCCCGAGGTAATTCAGGTCTTAGACGTTTACAAACATAAGTTTCTGGGATTTCTGAGTGCGACAACTTTTCACAGAAACTTGCAGCGGGTTAAGCGACTGGGCCACCAGTGTCCCCTCTTCAAGATACAGATTTGTAAGTGATCCAAAAGGTTACTCTCCTTTATTATTAATAGTAGGAGTAGTAGTAGTAGTAGTGGTAGTAGTAGTAGTAGTAGTAGTAGTCGCAGTAGTAGTAGTATTACATGAGCTGCTGGTGCATTCCGCCTTGCTCAGCACCTGGGAGATATTTTCAGTCTGATGTCCTTTTCTGGCTGAAGAAAGTTGGCCACCTTAAACGTCAATACTTCCTGTAAACAAACAAATACACATGTACGTGCCCCCGGACCCTTAGAGTAAGCAAACGAAAGTATGAAAGTAGGGAGTGTATCATGCTGACAAAAGCAGTTATTCATCACCAGTGTTATGAACATGATAGACTAATACACAACATGACAGACAATCGTCTCCAGAAGATGCTCTCCTTCAACCTTGCAGAGTGAATAAATGAGTTGGGTGTTACGCCGATTTTAGCAATATTCCACCAGTAAAGCGTTCACTCGTCCCACCGAATGCCAGGGTTCGATTCCCCATATCGATACAATACATTTCTGGTTCCCCGATGTGATGGTTCTGGAGTAGTGTCAACAGTGTCAACGACACTCACCCGATCACTCTAATACTAAAGGAACACGTATTTCCATTTAGGTTCATGATTACAATCGTGAGACACCTTTCATGCCTAATTAATATGCGAAGGCGTTTGTTAAATTTCTCATAGAAACCTTTCAGGTGTATGAAGGATGTTCACAATTTGTTTATAACAATTAGGACGTGTATTGAATACTGCCTCAAAGGATAAGATTAGTTTATCAGATGCTAACATATATTTGTAACACGTCACATCTTATTTCTGGAAACAAATTGTCCACACACACAACCCTTACATACGAAGGAAGGAAGAAAATAGAAAAGCTTCTTCTTTAAATCTTTAGGTTTAAACCGTGTGGCCTAGGAGCCAGCTCAAAACTCATTTTCTTGTTCTTATAAAAACATAGAGTTGTAACGTCAAGTATCGTGACACATAATTCAACTTTTTTTTATAACATAGCTCAACTATTTAAACTATTCAACTACTATTCAACCATCTGGCCCATTGGCCAACAAAGTTTACTTTGCTCAAAACTCTTCTCTTTTGCGAATGAAAGTCCCCACAAAGCTATGACGAGAAGTATGATGATATGTAATATTTTAAGATAATTCAGCTAATTTTTTACATTAAAATATTTGTCCATTTACTCAAACTCATTTTTTGAATTTATTTATTTATGTTTTCATATTGCTATTTAAGAACGTTAATAAATGGAAATATGCTTAACATGAATAATGGTACAGCTACACTAACGACAACTTCCACTTGTACAAGCATGCCAGAATGCATCGTGAATTAATTATCAGATTGTTTTAACAATTTTAGCATTTGATAAGAAATATATATAGACACACACAAAGAAAAAGGTTAAGCACAGCCTAATATATTTCATTATTGTTTGGTCCCAATATTTGTGACAGTCATGAAAGATATAATTACGGGAAGAATTGTTTTCTCGAGATGATGTTATCAGTCATGCGTGACGAAAGTTCTCGTGCCATGCATGGTATGCCCGTGCAGCATGCTACCTTCGAGTAGTATATCAAACCGTTAAAATTGCTTTCCTAAGCTCGGTGTTAAACAGTTATACCATGATATTGTGTGACCATGGCACGAAGGCGATTATCAAACGCCACAAGATGGCAAATAATCACGTTGCATAACGTAGGAATGTCTTGTAATGCCATTGGTAGGAATTTGGGGTATCATCACACTGTCGTAAGCAGCACCAGAATCGTCAGGAACCGGTTGAACGAAGCAGGACTGAGGGCTAGACGAATCATAAAGCGTCCCCTGTTGAGAGATCACCACAAAGCTGCTCGTTTAGCATGGTGTATTGCGCGACAGAACTGGAATCTGAGAACTTGGAGACGGATCCATTGGTCAGACGAAAGTCGCTTTCTGCTCCACGACACTGATACACCCCCAAGAACATTAAACCAACTGTTGCATACGGCGGGGGCTCGGCAATGGTTTGGGGGTGTATCTATCATGATTGCAGGTTGGATTTGATCAATATAAGGGGCACCTTGAAAGGGGCTCAGTACATCCGGGACGTTTTAAGGCCAGTCGTCGTTTTTCATTTTGACAACCACCCTCTTGCCACTCGACCTCAGTACATGGATGACAATGCCAGGCCTCATCGTTCGCATGCAGTCAGGGATAACATGAGGGCCAATGCAATAACGACTGGCTAGCAATGAGCCCAGATTTGATCCACCTTGAACGTGTATTGGGTATTCTGGGGCGGCTCATACAGGCACGAGATCCTCCTGTACAAGATTTATGCTAATTGGAAGCAGCATTGCATCAGGAGAGGTTGTTGTTGACCCATCAACAGATCCAACGTCTGACTGGAGGCATGAGACGTAGGGTGGTATGCGTCATCCGGGCACGTGGCGGTTAGACCCGCTACTGATCTGTTTCACGTGTCATGTCAAGTAGAGACTTTAAGGAACATTTTCACATGAAACATCAAACGTAACTTGTTTACTTAATCCTGCAGCTCCATACTTTTTTTAGGTATTGTCTAAGTCAAAAACAGTACCTGTGTTACCATGATGTTTTTGTCAGTAAATTGCAATCACAACTCACCAATATCTTCTTTATTTGTTGTCAAATGTTTGTTCTAACCGATGACATTGGTATCGCCCATCTCCTGTGGTCAGTCATCCCATAACTTGATTTTTGCCATTTGTCATTGTTCAGAAATAGGGGTGTGCTTAACTATTTTCTTTGTGCTATATATATATATATATATATATATATATATATATATATATATATATATATAATATACTCTTGTTCAGGGCTCTCATCTTTCAAATAATTCCTATCAGCATGTTCCCGAACCGTGCAAAAGATTGATTAAAAAAACGTTATTTGGACCCAGTGAAATTGTAAAGAACCTCGTTTTCAGATGAGAAAACTTGAAAGTAGAAAAATAGTGTAGCCTTCCCATCTTTATTTCATGTGCCAAAATGAAAATTCACGATTCTTTGGTTTCGGTGTTTTGATTCCCAATGCTGGCGATGAAGATGACGAACGTCGAGATGATAAACGAACGATATGGTAATGATAATGATGAAAACAGGAATGAATTGTACCTGTGTGTCGGGCATTCGTTCAAACTTCACAGTTCTCAGAACATGAACCAGGGCTATTTTAGCCTCCACCAGAGCAAGCCGCATCCCAATACAGATTCTAGGACCATATCCGAAAGCCAGGAAGGACAGCGGATTGGACTTTTCATCATGTCTGAAAATTGCATTAAATGAAATAATGTCAGATTGCAGGCTATGCCAGACAAAAATCATATTTTACATATTTTCAATTACACACAATCTAAAAGTAAAAAAAGTAGAATCTTTAACTTGATGTTAACGACAGTCCCTTTGCTGACACAATGTGCTTATGAACTTTGGTATTCCGTGTTTCCAAAACCAGCCTAAATAGAAACAAAGCATACTGGGCTCAGAAAGGGGGATTTGTTTTCATGATGATGGATGCAGACACAAACTGTGAATAGTGTCAATGTGTGTGTCAGGGTGCATTGCGTGTATGTCATGTCCCACTGCTGGTGCAAGGGTGGATGAGCTTGGTCTCTTCCCCCGGTGTGACTACAGCAATATCATCAGATACATCTGGTGGATAGCATTACCTTTCTGGTTTGAAGGTCTCTGGGTCCTGGAAGAGCTGGGGGTCTCTTTGTAGTGCGAATGTTGGGATAAAGATGGTTTGTCCCTCAGGGATTGTCAAGTCTTGGATCTGAATAGTCTCAGAAGCTCTGCGATGTAACCTGAAACACAGGATAAAGTCTGAATGAGCATGTGCACTGATGTAAACTGCCCCTTTGTACCTCTGACGATGATAGGTAGCCGAACATTTTCTCATTGTTGTTGAACATGACATTATGCTTCCAAAATGATATTATTGTTTTTGGAGGACCCCTGTCCTGTTTACCAAGCATATCCTGTAGTGGCACAGACAAGTTTAACAAAAGATGGACGCTACCTGTTAAATTCTGTCAATGATTGATTAGATTTGAGCATGACTATTTTCTTAAGTCCCCGAAATAATTCCTAAACCTACGACACATATGTATTGTCTTTCAATATGTCACACCATGGATTTTTACCACGAAATACCCTGAAGTCACTCGCTCCCATTACGCCACACTGTGTTTTCCTAAATGTAAATCTTATTATACACCAATGCCTCTAGTTCATTTCACGAGACATTTCTATATACTTCCGGCCTGACGATGTGACTTCTGGCAATGGAATATACCTACAATTTAATTTGTGACACTATACAGTTGACACAAGTGCCATATTTCCAATTCATAAAACAACTGCGTACTTCTGACTCACATACATGTTTTGCACGGATGTTGTCGTGACCTTGACAGTGACCTTTACCTTACTTCTTTGAAGGCAACAACGAGAACGTAACTTAGGAATTGACTTGGTACAAATCATGGCTCTGTTCATTCAGCAGTGAATGGCTACCCAGTAGGATGAGATGATAATGTGACCGTTAACCTACTAGCGCCTACAAGGCAGCTTGGCTTGTGTCATCCCCTAGGAGCTGACAATAACTATCGCGTACACGCTGATCCATTGACCGGAACTGACAATAACTATCGCGTCCTCGCTGATCCATTGACCGGAACTGACAATCACTATCGCCTCCACGCTGATCCATTGACCGGAACTGACAATAATTATCGCGTCCACGCTGATCCATTGACCGGAACTGACAATAACTATCGCGTCCTCGCTGATCCATTGACCGGAACTGACAATCACTATCGCCTCCACGCTGATCCATTGACCGGAACTGACAATCACTATCGCGTCCACGCTGATCCATTGACCGGAACTGACAATAACTATCGCCTCCCCGCTGATCCATTGACCGGAACTGACAATTACTATCGCCTCCATGCTGATCCATTGACCGGAACTGACAATAACTATCGCGTCCACGCTGATCCATTGACCGGAACTGACAATCACTATCGCCTCCACGCTGATCCATTGACCGGAAGTCGAGTCAGGTCAAATATTTTCCTTGAATGTTTCATGGTAATTTAAAATACCCAGAATTTCATGAGTTTTCCAGTTCCTGTTTCCTAGTTCTACAAGAAACCAAAACTGATAATTTGGGTGTTAATATTGGTATTAAGGACAATACAGATGTTCCTAGAAATAGACAGGACGAAAATCTGGAGGGTTGGGAGTTCTAATGAAAAGAGAAATAACAACATATGTTACAGTTGTTCCATCTTTAAGCGATAGAGCCTTGTGGACAAGTGTCAATAGGTCTATTTTGAATATTGACAGTGATCTGTGTACCACCTGTGTTTACATTCTGCATGTTAACTCTGGATTTGCAAGTGATAGCCACTTCCAGGATTTATAGTGATGTTATACTATATTTTTACCTCTTGGGGGATTCCAATGCCCACACTTCTACGTTAGAAGATACACGTGGCATTAACTACACTGTTAGTCATTCCATTGGAACAGATAATTCTGTGATAGATTACCTTAATAATAACGATATCATCGAAACCATGATGTGTCAACAAAGTCTCCCAAGACTAATCCGAACCGAATAGATGTGGTCGGCAACTTATAGACATGTGCAAAACCCTACCCATGCTTGTCTTAAATGGGAGATTGGAAACGGTAAATATACGGGTACTGTCACTTGTAAAGACAGCATTATTGTTGACCATACTTTTGCATCGAATATAGCCGTCTCTTTAGCCAAAGACTTTGAAGTACTCGACTTCGACTGTTTATATAGTGAGGCTCACATTGTCCGCTCCTAGTGACGTTATCAACGAAGGTGCAGAGGGTCGAACCGCGGCAAGATCTTCCTGACACGTCTTATAACGAGGCAAGGCCAAGGTGATTCGACATAGAAAATGAACAACAGTTCGTGACAGCACGTCTGATGGTTGTGATGACCCAGTGGCCCTTATTGACAATCGTGCCTCTGAATTAACACAGCCACAGATGTGTTCGGGGTTAGAAGGAAGAACACTGGTATAATTAAGCCCCAAACCAACTTTAATTAATGGTATGACAAAGATTGTCGTGATATGACATTCAAAAGCTAAAAAGCATGAAGTCTGGTTGATTAATGATCAAACCTGTTTATAACAAAGTTGGGGACGTTCTGAAACCAGAAAAGTACAGACCTATCACTATATCATCCTGTCTAGGGAAATAGTTTACAGGTGTGATAAATCTACGTTCAATACGGTATGTTGAGGGCAATAGTATTCTGTCAGAAGCTCAAGAGGGATCCCGGAAGGGACACCCTACTGTTGACAACGTTTTTCTTCTAAATAGCATCATTGAGTTGTTGAAATCCTCAGGTCAGAAAGTTTCTGTCTTTGTCGATCTTAAAAAGGCTTTCGATAATGTGTGGAGATACGGACTATGGCTTTAGAAAATATCTTATAGTATCTCAGGAAAAATATTTACTTTAAAAAGAAATGTGTACAATGATATTGAGTCATGTATTTGTTTAAATGGTCAAATGTCTGGATTTTTAACTGTGACAGTGGGGTTCGTCAAGGGGAAAACTTGTCACCTATGCTGTTTGCTCTTTTCCTTAACGATGTAGAAACATGTTTGCAGTATAATAATTGTGATGACATTGAAATTGGTTTACTTAAACGTATGCCGATGACACAGTACTCGTTCCAGAGTCCCCTGAAGATTTACAACATAACTTGAATATGTTTGATAATTACTGTAACACATCGACATTTAAGATAAGATGAAAATGCAGTTGTTATGTTTTGTACATCTGCAGATACTTTACATAATAGAAAAATTGAATTGAAAATTCATGATGACGAATCAAATATTTTTGACAGTTTTGCTTATTTAGGAATCATTTTCCATAGAAATTGAAAGTTTAACCACGCCATAATATCACTGAAGGAACAAGGACTAAAAGACATGTATTATTTGCTATCTTATGCTAGAAATTTAATCTTGCTTTAGATTGTGTTATTGCCTACTATTATATGGTTGTCCCGATTCTCCTATACTGCAGCGAAGTCTTGGTCAGTTATTATAAAGGGAATTGTATATCACAAACATCTTGATAATGTTTATCATTCACCATGGTTATTATATTGCAAAAAATATTTCTGATACTTGTGGTCTAATGCATGAATGGAATAATCGATTAATAGATAGTGAAGAGTCGTTATTAGAGATAGTTGATCAAATATTTTAGGAACTGGCACAGTGCCTAACGGTCTGAAGGTGTCTGATATGGTGTTATTACACCAAACTTCGGTTTTGAAAACTACTGATCTTATAACGCCAATATATGTGTCACCCTGCATAAACCTCAAACTTCTAATCATTCTTTACCCATAGAAAAAGAATGTTCCTATTTTAGTAACAAATGCAAACAATTCCTTAAGGAATATAATATAGTCGTCCAAATTATTATAAGCTTCAACCGTTAATTACGTGTCCATAGCTTTCCACTGTCAGATATCTATGTAAACCTTTCAATTGTATCCTCAATGTTGTCATTTCAATAAACAGCCGATGTCTTGTACTTTCAATCGTTATATTGTAACTGTACACCATGCGCCGCTGTGGCAGGAGGAATAAGTGAGTGAGTGAGTATGGTTTTACGCCGCTTTTAGCAATATTCCTGCAATATCACGGCGGGGGACACCAGAAATGGGCTGCAGACATTGTACCCATGTCGGGATTCGAACCCGGGTCTTCTGCGTGACGAGCGAACGCTTTAACCACTAGGCTACCCGACCGCCCCGAGCGGTGGAATAAACATGATGAAGATGATGGTGGTGGCACGGATTCCTGTTGCACAGCGCCCAGGTCACAAATCAGGTGAAGGTGGCTGTCAATGAAATGGAATGAAACTATCCTTTAAACGCAATTCTCTTAGTGAGGTATCGATATCCAAGATACATGGCATCGGTTACGGTGGGGATTAAATTGTCACACTTTTAAAACTCTGTAACTTTTGTAAACTTACGCAATAACTGGTGGGTAGAGCCTGAGCGTCTCTGTGATGACTTTGTCCAGATACTTCAGTTTCCCTATGTTGTCGTAGTTGGGTTCCTCCTGGGGAAAAGGATAAGGACAATGTCTACTACTGATTGACGAGACTTGATACGATCATTACGATCGCAATAAAGTATGAGAAATCGTCAGGTTGCAATATCAGTTAAAATTATCTTCTCATTTTACAATGACAAAGTTTGTGAGTGAATCCCTCAGGTAGGGGATGTGGTCCTCGCATAATATATTAGGTGAAAAGTGAACAAATCTATGCACCCAAATGTTCATACTGACATTTCCAAGCATTTCTTTGATTTCATTATACGCCTTCTCCTGTACATTCGGGTTCATGGCGAGACTGTGCGACGCAAAAGTCAGTGTCGAAGCAGTTGTTTCGTATCCAGCAATGAAAAACAGAATCCCTTGGCCAACTATTTCATCTGTTGTTAGACCTGTAAAAGTCGTTTTACAATAGAATACGAAAACCAAGTTGTGTCATATATTGAACGCCCTACACAGCTACATTCGTGATATGATGTTGACGGTAGCCAGTGAACAATCGAGTATGAATCAACAGTGACTGATATCATGAGCAACGTCCCGCACCATTGGTGTACGATGACGGGTAATCAACCGTATCACTGCCCGCCATATGCCAGACATATTGCTCATGCCACGTTAACACTCAAGTCGCTCATCAGTGTGCCTGTACTCACGTCTGACTGAATGTTTCTCTGGGATCTGACCATTGGCTGCGTGACCGTTTTCGTCTCTATCTGCCTCTATCTCAGCGTCCACCAAGAGTTGCAGGAAGTCGACTCTCTGCTGTAAATACAAGATGTTTTCTTGCCGAAATCTTAGAAACTCAGTCGTTGCTTCAAACCCATAAAAGAATTTAAGGCAAGGTATTTTCATTTTCTTAATCATCATTTTTGTTGGCATAAGTGTTTGTAAATACAAAATAGGTTTAAAGAGATAACCATGACTAGATTGCAGCCTTTGGAATAGCATCCCTGGATAGTAATGATTTCTATTAATAGAACGTTCCAAGCAGTAAACATTTTCATGACTTATCAATATATGTGTGAACGTCATTAAAATTGAACGTCTTAGCAAACACGGCAGCTTCTGTGTAGTAAACATTATCATCTATCCTTCACCAATATATATTCTAACACATTTCCTTGTTTTCTTATGATATAGATAGTGTTTTCAGAGAAAACGTTCACATCGATTGAAAAATTATTCAAATAAGCGTGAAACTCCTTTACCAAGTATGATTCTAGTATGCTTCTCGAAACAAGGTACATGACAGAGCATTTTATATGAAAGAATGTTTTATCTGAATGTCTAGGTTTAGAGTTTTAGAGACTTTTTTCTACTGACCGATTTGCTGTTAACACGTTATCAGAAATGGACCTCAATTCAACAGTAATGTCTAACCTCTCGACGCTCTTTTGTGTCGCTCTGTCGTTGTTTGATCATATCCGTAATATTCGTTTGAAAAAAGTTTATGACGTGTTTTGGAAAGAATCCACCCCCCAGCTTCGTGATGATCCAAACAAGTGGGGGACAGAAACCTGCAAACAAGGAAAGCGAGCAAGTTGTGTTTTATCGATCCTGGGCATGAACAATATTTGAGACGACGTGACAACTTAGTGGGAGGAAAGCCCGAAGTGATACTTTGGTGGAAATATTTGGACAAAACTCTTACCATGATCATGAGAAATATGTGCTAATAGTCAAGCCCATTGTACTAATCCGTGTTTATAGTAATCATGTGCTCATGAATCATTTGAATTATTATCAAACAGTGAGCATATGTCATATGACCTATTGAAATCTTCAAAAGTTGAAATGTATACACTAAGGGCTGCAACTTCTGGGTTACTGTTTGTTTGTTTGCTGCTGGACGCCACACTCAGCAACATTCCTGTTATATGACGGCGCTCTGTAAATAATCGAGTCTGGACCAGACAATCCAGTGTTTGATATCATGAGCATCGATCCACACAATTGGGATACGATGACATGCATCAACCAAGTCAGCGAGCACCGTCAGTCGCCTCTTGCGACAAGCATGGGTTGCTGAAGGCCTATTCTACCCCGGATCGTCACAGGTGCTGGATTACTACTGGACATAAAAGTTGACTATTGTAAGGTTGGATCTTTGAAAGAGAATTGACTGTTTGACCGTTATTAAGCGGTATCGGATCATCGTTAGCCTTGAAGCTGGTCCTGATTTCTCAAAACAAAAGTTAAAGGTTTTTTTAACTCAACTGCCGAATTGTCTTGAATCTTTGAAGACCGATATGTATAGCTATGGTCATTAGGTGTAGTGATAAATGTTCTGTGGGTCAAGGAATGAAGTTTTCTTCTTTTCCGTGTTTAAAGATTGAAATTGATCTTACTTCTCTTGCGAGGATTACAACAAAATGAGAAAAATCCTTTGAGTGATTTTAGAATCAACATGCTAGTAATTCAAATGGTCTCAGACGTTTTTGTGAATTTCAAGAAAGTCCTGATTGGATTGTATTGAGGCTTCCGGTTAACCAAGGATTTGGTGGTACATTTGCTGTACCTTCTAACATCTTCCTCTCTCTGTAAGATTTTATGGAGTTTTAGAAGTACAAAACAGTAATGAAGATGTCTTTAGATTTTGGAGTCAAGTCCAGTGTTGATAGTGTTGATAGTATTCCTCAGTTAACATATTGGTCTTACATGTGCTCTTGTGTGATGTGTCACTTACTATACAAAGTTCTTCAATCAAACATGAATCATCCGTACAATCGTGATAAGCACATATATCATTATATAAATGCATATCCATGTGATTCACTGACCAAATCACTTTGATCATCGAATAAAAACTAAATACAAATCAGCTTCAATACAAAAATACTGTGATGTGTAACATGTTTGCATCGCTTTCACTGTCTACTATGGCATATCAAGAACCGTATTTCGTTTTGTTTGTGTGTTTGTTGTTTACCGCCGTACTCAGCCATATTCCAGCTATATGACGGTGGTCCGTAAATAATCGAGTCTGGACCAGACAGTCCAGTGATTAATATCATGAGCATCGATCCACACAATTGGGATACGATGACATGCAATTGTCTAGCTATCTCACGGCGGGGGATACCAGTAATGGACTTCACACACTGTTATCATGGGGAATCGAACCAGGTTCGGTACGACGTGTTAACGTTTAAATTACGAACCACCCCCACCGACCCGAATAAGGGCAACGGTTGACGCCTTGTGCGAAAAATCGATATTATTAATGTCAATGTAGCTGTGTTTTATATATCCAAATCAAACTGCTATCATATTTGCAAAATAATCACAGTAGACAAAACAGATTCATTCACCGCAAAATGTACAGACGAGGCTGTTGAATGAAGAGAAGTTTCACCTACACATCTATCTTCAGAGGTTCAGGTCAAATTCTCAAAAATGACACCAAATGCCATCTGAGTAAGTGAGTTAAAGTTGAACGTCACATCGGCAATATTAAGCCATGTCGTGACGAGACAAAACAAAATGCCACCGGACATTTACTGAGGAAACAATATGTGAAATGCTGGAATTTCTCATTGACAACATATATACTACTCAAAACAAATTAAAGAACACCAACAATGGGAAGCTGTGTGTGTTCAATACTCACCAGCCATAACAGTTTATCTATAGTTATTTGAAAAAAATCAAGTGTTCTTTAACTTCTTTTGAGCAGTATATGTAAACTTTGGGGGGTAAGACATTTGGGCAAGAACCAGGCATGCCCATTGGCACCAACTGTGTCCCCCTTCTTGCTGATCTGTTTCTTTATGCATATGAATTAGAATTTCTGTTTGGACTGCCAAAGCCAAGGTAATTTGGCCCAGAAGTTAAGCTTTAGCTTCAGTTATATCGAGGATCTGTTATCGTTCAATAACCATAAAATAGCTAATTCCCTTCCACTGATTTACTCACCTGGGCTAGAAATAAAGGGTACCAGTGAGGCCGCCTCATCTGTTTCATATATAGATCTTTGCATAAAGATTCAGATTGACTATACACTCTCCACATGACTGTATGACACAAGGGACGTCTCCAGCTTTCCAACAGCCAACTTACCCTTTGTATCGAGCTATACTCTTGCAGCTCCAGTCATTGTCGCCTACATTTCACAACTTATGAGGTACAACCGAGCATGATCTTTGTGTTAATAGAGTGGCCAGACCCTCAAACTGCCGACATACCCCTCCTCATAGCAGAACAAAGCAAACTTAGGATTTTCTTTTTACCAGTGAGGCCGCCATGTTCCACCTGTAGAAGATGCTTTCAAGCAACACATGTTTTTGTAAGCCGTAATCCCTAAGTCTCTTTAAGGCTCGGGGGAAGGTGAAGAGGATCATCCATCAACAATGAGTGAGTGAGTATGGTTTTACGCCGCTTTTAGCAATATTCCAGCAATATCACGGCGGGGGACACCAGAAATGGGCTTGAAACATTGTACCCATCTCGGGAATCGAACCCGAGTCTTCAGCGTGACAAGCGAACGCTTTAACCCCTAGGCTACCCGACCGCCCCTCCACCTATAGAAGATGCTTTCAAGCAACACATGTTGAGAGCCATGTTTCAGACGACAATATGGCTGCCGATACATCACGCATCTCATCTGCAGTGACAGATCATATGTCATATGAACCTGAAGGCTTGAGTGACAGTGGCAGTGGTGGCAGAGACTAAACGTATCTTACTGTATTGGAAAAAATAATGGATTTGGTAATGAGTTACTGACTATATTGAAGCAGTTGCATATAAGTGCTTAACATTGACTCTTCCAGGTAAGTCAATAAGATCAGCAATTATAGAACATAAAATAGGCGATAATTATCTTATGTATGATAATAACACGATACATGGAGTTCCTGGTCGAAACCTACATTTTGACATTTAAACTTCTCATACATTCCGAAGTGAAGACGGCCATCTTGGAGGCCATTTTGTTCGCCTTATTGGATATATCAAATTTCTCAAGCTCACATTTGTAAGATACTTAAACGATTCATGTGTTCAAATAAAACAAATTGGTGCACAAGAATGTTAGTGTTGTGATAGTATTTTTTAAAATATGTTATTATACATTTCCTTAACAGAATGGGGGTTGAGATCACATGAACAAAATGTTCATACATTATATTATACCTACAATAATTGTGGAATTTTTCGTAAGCATTCAGGCAGATTTTGAGATATCACATTGTCAATATGGAGGTTACATTATCTTTAGTTTTGTAATAATTTGAAAATGAAAATTGAGTGATTTTTTCCTGTTTTTGACACATTTTTACATTTTGGCCCGTAACTCGACTTAAACAATTTTGCTAATTGTTTATTTGTTTTATTGTAGGTTTACTAAGTCAAAACACTGATTTTGTTTATAAAATGAGCATTGCTATATGTAAAGTGACTTGTTTAGAGCCATTTATTTGATTTACTTAATTTTGACACACATATGTGCATTTTACCACCAAAAAACATGTCTGCCACCAAAAGAAATCACCACAACCATTATTTTCTAATACATAAATAACATCTTCTGAAGAAAAATGTGGTTGTGCTTTGTTCTACTGTGGGGAGGGGTTACTCCTTAAATGGCCTCTTTTTAAGGGTTGGCCGCTACTCTGTAAGACTTTAATAGTTTGATAAAGAGTTCAGTATGCAAGGCCTTAGTACAGCTTTCAAAATGTTTAATGGTAGTCCCGTGGAGGACATGTCTAGATTTGATCATCACTGACAAAAATGATGTCCGATGCAATTGTCTATTTTGACTTGTACCATATGTTCGCATGTTTTTTGTTTATATTTGTCATGTGAATAGTTGACTTGCCTTTGCATGTGTTTGTGACAGGTGGCACCTGTGTGGAAAAATATACTCATCTTTTCGCGAATACCTGGTATCATCACTGTTTGATAGTGATTCATAAACACAAAGCCGGTTGGTACAATCGACTCTGCTTTCCACAGAGAGTTGTTATGAATATGGAAATGGTTGTGTCGCTTCTATTAAGAAGTATGCAACCTACTTGCTAGCAGTGGTAGTAGTCTTCTTGGCCCTGCTTGTCCAAACATCAGCTTAGCATGAGCGACGAATGGGTTGTTGAAATCGTTCTGAGAATCTACTTTTATACCAAAGGCAGTCCTTGAAATCACGTCCATAGTGAAAGCTCCAAAGTATCTGAAAAATAATGATTATAGATTAACGCTTTGCAATGGGTATTAATAATAATAATAATAATAATAATAATACTTTACATGGATGACCTTGAACTTATTGCCAATGGAGGATCCACACTCAAAAAACAAATTCTCCTTGTGGTGTCCTTTTCTAATGATATCGGCATGTTCTTTGGACTCGACAAATGCAACATTCTTCATCTAAGACGTGGCAAGGTAGAAGAGGGAGGATCAGTCAGTTTACTTGGAGGAGGAGTTATTGACCATCTCGTGGAAGGTCAGGCCCATACGTACTTTGGGATGAAGGTTAGGGACAAACTCCAGAATGCTCATATCAAGGAAAAACATCGGGCAAAGTACAAACGTGGACTTACGAAAATCTGGAGTTCAGAGCTGAACGCTCGCAATAAAGTAAAAGCCACAAATACTTATGCTGTGCCCGTCCTTTCATATTCTTTTGGTGTTGTTGATTGGACTAAACAAGAAATTCAGGGTATTGAAAAAACACGAAAAATCATGTCAGACAATAGATACCACCACCCTCGCTCTTCCCCCAATCGCTTATATTACCAATTATGATAGGAGGACGTGGTTTGATTAACGTTGGGGCTCTTCATGACAGAATTGTTTTGTGCACTTTGTCTGATGATCCTCTTGTGAAGCATGTCAAGACTCATGATGAAAACAAGGCATTCCACAGTTTTCTAAAACGAGCCAAGGATGGCGGAACATAATCTCAACGTCGGTGTTGATTTTGTTGATGTTTCTGTACTGCTGGACGGTAATGCGTGTCAACCAAGCGAAGTGCCATATCAAGTCGGCCCAGACTAAGGTTTTTAAAGGAGAGGCTATCTGAACGACCACTGCATCAAGTTTATGTGCAGTGTGTTGAGAAGATCAGCAATCCTTCGCTTGGATGAAGTCGTCTGGCCTGAAAAGTGAAACAGAAGACTTTCTGTTTGCTGCTCAGGAGCAGTCACTTCCCACTCGAAACCGTCAATGTGTGGTTTTGCATCAAAATGTAAATATGAAATGTAGATTATGTAAGTCTTTGGAATAGGCCCATTTTACAGGCTCAGACGCATGCAGGCCAACAAACCTGATCTTGTCCTTTCTGATAAATCCAATGAAATCCTTTACATGATTGAATTTTCTGTCCCTTTTGACACTAATGTGTCCTTTTTGTAATGAATTTAATGAGGCTGTCAAACCCATTGTCAGTGGATGCCCAGCTTTGGCACAAACACAGTATCTTAAGCGACATGATCGAGTAGTCGACATGCTTGTTGATTTGACACAGAGGTCCATCCCTGGTACCACGCAGAATATGTACAGGGCGTCATGGAAAATGAGAAATACAAAATTCTTTGGAATATACCCGAATACTGCCTAAGACCTCTCCAGCCAAAAAGAAATGATCATGTTCTTTTTGATAAATCAAATGAAATCATTTATAGTATTGAATTTTCTGTCCGTTTTGACGAGATTCAGGAAAAGCATGGCAAATATGCGGATATCACTTTCGAAATGTCCCACTTGCACCCCAAGTACCAAGTTGTTCGACTCCCCATTGTTCTCGGTGTCTTAGGTTTCGTACCTCCTATATTTGGTGACTGCCGTTGGGAGAGTACCCGGGTTTGCTGCCAGGAATACAGCCCTTCTGACAATCTGGGTAATGCAGAAGGCTGCAATCTCTTGGTGGGTTCGACTAGGCAGCGCTTACTGGATAAAGTCCCATTCGCTGTCTGGGTTGCGCATAAGAGGAGGCAAGGGCCCTGGTCTGATGATGAGCCTAACCAGTCTGACAGTGTCAGGATCACAAAACCCCTGTTGTCTGCATTTTTATTTTAATCTGTATATAACAGTAAGTCAATTATTTTGCGATATGTCCACACCACAGGGGCATGCTCAAAGTGCTGCACTATTATAACCCCGGTCAATTGATCAGTGTTCACCATATACAACCCAAGCAGCCTTTGAAAGTATACCGAGTTTGAGATTTTATTCAATTGAAAATTGACAGAACAATTAACTTATTGTATGTCTATCTAACCATCACTCAATTCTGCAATAGTATGTGAAAAGTAGTACGTGGCTGGGTAATCGATCCACGCAATTGGGATACGATGGTATGGATCAACGAAGTCAGCGAGTCTGACCACCCGATCCCGTTAGTCACCTCTTACGACACGCATAGTCGCCATTTACGACAAGCATGGGTTGCTGAAGACCTATTCTACCCCGGATCTTCACGGGTCAGAACGGAGAGTAACATAATGTATAGTAACATAACGTACCCCGGATCTTCACGGGTCAGAACGGAGAGTAACATAATGTACAGTAACATAACGTACCCCGGATCTTCACGGGTCAGAACGGAGAGTAACATAATGTACAGTAACATAACGTACCCCGGATCTTCACGGGTCAGAACGGAGAGTAACATAATGTACAGTAACATAACGTACCCCGGATCTTCACGGGTCAGAACGGAGAGTAACATAATGTACAGTAACATAACGTACCCCGGATCTTCACGGGACAGAACGGAGAGTAACATAATGTACAGTAACATAATGTACCCCGGATCTTCACGGGTCAGAATGGAGAGTAACATAATGTACAGTAACATAATGTACCCCGGACCTTCACGGGTCAGAATGGAGAGTAACATAATGTACTGTAACATAATGTACAGTAACATAACGTACCCCGGATCTTCACGGGTCAGAACGGAGAGTAACATAATGTACAGTAACATAACGTACCCCGGATCTTCACGGGTCAGAATGGAGAGTAACATAATGTACAGTAACATAATGTACCCCGGATCTTCACGGGTCAGAACGGAGAGTAACATAATGTACAGTAACATAATGTACCCCGGATCTTCACGGGTCAGAATGGGGAGTAACATAATGTACAGTAACATAATGTACCCCGGACCTTCACGGGTCAGAACGGAGAGTAACATAATGTACAGTAACATAATGTACCCCGGATCTTCACGGGTCAGAACGGAGAGTAACATAATGTACAGTAACATAATGTACCCCGGATCTTCACGGGTCAGAACGGAGAGTAACATAATGTACAGTAACATAACGTACCCCGGATCTTCACGGGTCAGAACGGAGAGTAACATAATGTACAGTAACATAACGTACCCCGGATCTTCACGGGTCAGAACGGAGAGTAACATAATGTACAGTAACATAACGTACCCCGGATCTTCACGGGTCAGAACGGAGAGTAACATAATGTACAGTAACATAACGTACCCCGGATCTTCACGGGACAGAACGGAGAGTAACATAATGTACAGTAACATAACGTACCCCGGATCTTCACGGGTCAGAACGGAGAGTAACATAATGTACAGTAACATAATGTACCCCGGATCTTCACGGGTCAGAACGGAGAGTAACATAATGTACAGTAACATAATGTACCCCGGACCTTCACGGGTCAGAATGGAGAGTAACATAATGTACAGTAACATAATGTACAGTAACATAACGTACCCCGGATCTTCACGGGTCAGAATGGAGAGTAACATAATGTACAGTAACATAATGTACCCCGGATCTTCACGGGTCAGAACGGAGAGTAACATAATGTACAGTAACATAATGTACCCCGGATCTTCACGGGTCAGAATGGGGAGTAACATAATGTACAGTAACATAATGTACCCCGGACCTTCACGGGTCAGAACGGAGAGTAACATAATGTACAGTAACATAATGTACCCCGGATCTTCACGGGTCAGAACGGAGAGTAACATAATGTACAGTAACATAATGTACCCCGGATCTTCACGGGTCAGAACGGAGAGTAACATAATGTACAGTAACATAACGTACCCCGGATCTTCACGGGTCAGAACGGAGAGTAACATAATGTACAGTAACATAACGTACCCCGGATCTTCACGGGTCAGAACGGAGAGTAACATAATGTACAGTAACATAACGTACCCCGGATCTTCACGGGTCAGAACGGAGAGTAACATAATGTACAGTAACATAACGTACCCCGGATCTTCACGGGTCAGAACGGAGAGTAACATAATGTACAGTAACATAATGTACCCCGGATCTTCACGGGTCAGAACGGAGAGTAACATAATGTACAGTAACATAATGTACCCCGGACCTTCACGGGTCAGAATGGAGAGTAACATAATGTACTGTAACATAATGTACAGTAACATAACGTACCCCGGATCTTCACGGGTCAGAACGGAGAGTAACATAATGTACAGTAATATAACGTACCCCGGATCTTCACGGGTCAGAATGGAGAGTAACATAATGTACAGTAACATAATGTACCCCGGATCTTCACGGGTCAGAACGGAGAGTAACATAATGTACAGTAATATAACGTACCCCGGATCTTCACGGGTCAGAATGGAGAGTAACATAATGTACAGTAACATAATGTACCCCGGATCTTCACGGGTCAGAACGGAGAGTAACATAATGTACAGTAACATAATGTACCCCGGATCTTCACGGGTCAGAATGGGGAGTAACATAATGTACAGTAACATAATGTACCCCGGACCTTCACGGGTCAGAACGGAGAGTAACATAATGTACAGTAACATAATGTACCCCGGATCTTCACGGGTCAGAACGGAGAGTAACATAATGTACAGTAACATAATGTACCCCGGATCTTCACGGGTCAGAACGGAGAGTAACATAATGTACAGTAACATAATGTACCCCGGATCTTCACGGGTCAGAACGGAGAGTAACATAATGTACAGTAACATAACGTACCCCGGATCTTCACGGGTCAGAATGGGGAGTAACATAATGTACAGTAACATAATGTACCCCGGACCTTCACGGGTCAGAACGGAGAGTAACATAATGTACAGTAACATAATGTACAGTAACATAACGTACCCCGGATCTTCACGGGTCAGAACGGAGAGTAACATAATGTACAGTAACATAATGTACCCCGGATCTTCACGGGTCAGAACGGAGAGTAACATAATGTACAGTAACATAATGTACCCCGGATCTTCACGGGTCAGAACGGAGAGTTACATAATGTACAGTAACATAACGTACCCCGGATCTTCACGGGTCAGAATGGAGAGTAACATAATGTATAGTAACATAATGTACCCCGGATCTTCACGGGTCAGAACGGAGAGTAACATAATGTACAGTAACATAACGTACCCCGGATCTTCACGGGTCAGAACGGAGAGTAACATAATGTACAGTAACATAATGTACAGTAACATAACGTACCCCGGATCTTCACGGGTCAGAACGGAGAGTAACATAATGTACAGTAACATAACGTACCCCGGATCTTCACGGGTCAGAACGGAGAGTAACATAATGTACAGTAACATAACGTACCCCGGATCTTCACGGGTCAGAACGGAGAGTAACATAATGTACAGTAACATAACGTACCCCGGATCTTCACGGGTCAGAACGGAGAGTAACATAATGTACAGTAACATAACGTACCCCGGATCTTCACGGGTCAGAACGGAGAGTAACATAATGTACAGTAACATAACGTACCCCGGATCTTCACGGGTCAGAACGGAGAGTAACATAATGTATAGTAACATAACGTACCCCGGATCTTCACGGGTCAGAACGGAGAGTAACATAATGTACAGTAACATAATGTACCCCGGATCTTCACGGGTCAGAACGGAGAGTAACATAATGTACAGTAACATAACGTACCCCGGATCTTCACGGGTCAGAACGGAGAGTAACATAATGTACAGTAACATAACGTACCCCGGATCTTCACGGGTCAGAACGGAGAGTAACATAATGTATAGTAACATAACGTACCCCGGATCTTCACGGGTCAGAACGGAGAGTAACATAATGTACAGTAACATAACGTACCCCGGATCTTCACGGGTCAGAACGGAGAGTAACATAATGTACAGTAACATAACGTACCCCGGATCTTCACGGGTCAGAATGGAGAGTAACATAATGTACAGTAACATAATGTACCCCGGATCTTCACGGGTCAGAATGGAGAGTAACATAATGTATAGGAACATAACGTACCCCGGATCTTCACGGGTCAGAACGGAGAGTAACATAATGTACAGTAACATAACGTACCCCGGATCTTCACGGGTCAGAACGGAGAGTAACATAATGTACAGTAACATAATGTACCCCGGACCTTCACGGGTCAAATATATTTGTAACAACATGACACCTACTTTAAAACTTAAAACCATGTGGAGGTATTCTTTAAGTACTGACTAAGCGACTGTACAGTTCGTCAACTTACGACATTTTCAATTGAAAATCAAACATATGATAAAATCAACCGTGAGAGGTAGTTTCTTCTGCCCCTCACTGTATAGGCTGAGACAAACATTCTCTTCAATGGTGAAGAGGATTATCTGTTAACAAAGGGTCACTAGGGCATGCGAAGACACGGGACTGAAGATGAAGATGGAATGTGGCATTTTGTTTGCAAGGGTGTTCTCGTTTTGATAAAATGTAGATAGAATGCAATCTCATCCAATTTACGCTCTTCCAAGAGTAAAATAGAAAAATCCCGAATACAATAGCTTACAATAATAAAATGTGTAATTATCTCGTATATGTAGTATCCGATAAATACAAAATATCCATTTCAACGCATATAATCGAATGAAAGGTTCAGTTTGACATGTCAACACAATACGTACTCCTTCATAGTAACCCCTTCTTTTCTCCCGACGACTTTAGAGAAGTTACTTGAAAGAGTCGTTGCGCAGTCGTTGATAGCAGCACACATCTAGGATGAGAGAAGTTGACTTACATACCTACACACTGTTCTTAATATTGTAAAACTATATAACACAGAGCTCCATTAAATGGGACAGAACGTCGCAGAACTAACATTTGGGTTTTTTGTAATTTAAAGCAACACTCAGCAATATTCCAGCAAAATGACGAGTCTAGACCAGACAATCCAGTGATTGACATTATGAGCATCGATTGGAATTCGGTGACATGCATCAACTAAGTCAGCTATCCTGACCACCCGATTCCGTTAGTTCCCCCTTACAACAAACATGTGTTGGTGAAGAGCAATTCTAACTCGGAATCTCCACGGGACTACAGAACTATCAACCTGTATGAAAACGTTATTTACCTCAGAATACGGACCGGTCTGGATGAGATGTACACTCATTTGCTTGTTTGCTGTTGTTGCAAGGCGACACTCAGCAATATTCCAGCTGTGTGACGACGGCCTGTACATGGTCCGGGCTGGACCGGACAACCCAGTAATTCACATGATGAAACGTAATCAAGCAACTCGTCACCTGATCCATTAGTAACAAGTAAACGTTGCTGGGGACCAATTCTAACCCAGAATCTCTACGTGGAGAATATACCCTACAATGAGTGAATGTGGTTTTACGGCGCTTTTAGCAATATTCCAGCAATATCACGGCGGGGGACACCAGAAATGGGCTTCACACATTGTACCCATGTCGGCAATCGAACCCGGGTCTTCGGTGTGACGAGCGAACGCTTTAACCACTAGGCTACCCGACCGCCCCATATATACCCTACAAAGACGACGAGAGTGACTCACCTTTCTCAGTTTGCCGCCGCTGAAGCTGGGGGTGATTATGCTTCTCACTCTCTTCCAGTGGGAATCTTCCAAGAAGAACACACCCAAATTGAATGGGAAAGGCACGAGTTTGAATTTCTGGAAATAGATAAAGAAAATGTTACACTGGACATGTAACACTGATTTGTAATATTCATGCCACGAGAGTGAATGAGTTAGTTTTGAATGTCTCGTTTAACACAATTACAGTTGATAATGACGTGCCATCAGAGGATGATATAATCTCCCACGTATATCCTTTACTACAATAACGTTATTGCCTTTGAAACAATATCATGGATAAGCTACTTGAACGTATTGTTTACCATCCGGTTCCTGAAAGTGTTGAAGCTCTTGACAAACACTTCCTTCAGAATGTCCAGATCAGATATAACTAAAGCTGGCTTTTGTCCCAAAAATACCCTTTAGGTCAAGAAACAACAAAGAACTTGTTAAAACATTGAATAAGAAAACAAAACATGTCACAACAATGTCGGGTACGGATGTTCTGTTTTTAAACAAATAATGGAAAAGCTTCAGTGATTACAATTGGCGCAATGTTAGAACTATGAGGGCAAGCTGTGACAAGTGTGTTCACGCCGGCGTCACGGAAAGCCTGAAAATAACAAGACCGAGTGAGTTAATATGAGTAATGTTTCTTGGCGTTCCGTCAAAAAACGTGTCTGGACCAGGTAAACCATTTACAAGAAACGACAAAGGAGTACGATGTCACACAATCGACCAGGTCACACAGCCAGACCACCCATTACATTTTAGTCGACTCTTGCGACATGCACAGGTTACTGGAGACTCTTCCCCGGAATCCCGACAGGGTTCTGACAATGGAAATGGACAGGTTTGTGACCATCCTCAGGAACAGTTAACTGCTAACAGAAGTTGATGAGACCAAGACATCTAAACTAAAGATATACTATCCTGTAAAGGGTGGTTCGAGTCCCCGATTAGCCTGATTATGATTAATGGTTTGCCAGCACGATACCCGGGATCGTGAGTTTTCTAAGGCCTGCATTACTTCGGGAATATCTCCCACATGAAGCTATTGTGTATGATCCACCTGAAATACTTCCAAAACAGCGGTAAACCCAACTGGGTCGCCGTCAAGGATGTATTCTTCTTCAAAAACTCTTTGATTATCTTTTCTTCTTCTAAATAACTATACTAATAGCTGCGGTCACTACTTCCATACGACTATCATGGGAAGGATGCTACTTCTGCGTCCGGAAGACGCTTAGTCAAAGCATTTAATGTACGAGATGCACTTACCCGTATATATTTCCATATTGTCGGTTCCACTCTTTGAATTTGTGGAAGAAACCCTGTTAAAATAGAAAGATAAATTATAGTTTTGCATTGTACCTCATTTCATACAGATAGTGCCACGGAACTGTAGCTTAGCTGGATGTGAAATCAACAGTTTAGATGTCAACAAGGAGCGTCACCCAACGCATGTATATTTTCTACATTATAATGAGGATAACTGAATAACAAAGTAACAAGTAACTACATTTCCACAGTGTTACTCAACTGCAAGAAGACATGTTTTACCAACAACAATGTTAAAGACCTTATATATTTTGTTTATTTAATAACACTTAAACTATGGAGACACAGCCATTATCTTGCACACACAGATTCAACTCTCTAACCTGACCTTCACAAACATCAGCGAGGATGGGCCCTGCGAATAGGATTTTCCACAAGCGAACCAGAACGTTCAGTATTTGCGTTTTGGTATATTTTTTTACATACAAAATACACGAAAAGACACAGATGAAAGTAAATTCTGTTATTTTATTAAAAGCCATATCGTTATTACCTGAAACGATTGACGAGACATCTGTGTGGTTATTCGGTTTACACGTACAGTCAAGTCTCGTTAATCCGACAATCGGCTTTATGCGACACTGATGATGGGAACCGATTAAATCAGTACTATTTAAAACCCGTTAATCCGACAGTCTTTTTTGCGGAATTGCTTATCGTGACCATAAATGTGATTCAGTGTTATAAACATTCTCCACGCCGATGTCACGCTAATAATTAAATGATTATAACAAAATCGATGTACTGTTGTCAACAAGATTTGGTTCCATGCGTATATAAGTTCCGGCGGAACTTCTACTACCAACATGTGTTCCTTTTGAGGTGCATATCGCGCCAAACTTGGGTTCCTATTACACTGAAGTTTGTTACAGTCACACAACAGACACATACACACACACATATACTAATGTTCTACCTTGTGAAACTGTCAAGTGTCTAAAAGAGGGTTGTTTTGACGGAGCTATATTAAAACATGGGGCTTGGTTATTGTTGGGAGGGGTAGGGGTGGTTGTAGATGTGGAAGGGTGGAAGAGAGAAAGGATACATGAATTTTAAGCATGAAACAAATAAAGAAAGACAAGTTCTATGGATGAACAACTTCTTTATTACAATAAGTGCGACGTTTCGGTGAAGATCCTAACACCTTTATCAAGCAAGTGATGGATAGTGCTGAACATCATAGGTATATATACTTATTAACATCAATGTGTATACAGTAAATAGATTGATGGGCACAGAGAGCTGATAAAGATGATTGGAAGCCAGTGAATGACTAATGGGACAGGGTAAACAACTGGCTTCACTTCCAATCATCTTAATCAGCTCTCTGTGGCATTTCCGTTAGCAGTTAAAAGAAACCCAACAAACTCTTTAAAAAAATGTTTTTGATATATCTCTGTTACCATGGTAAAAGCAAATTCTATTGTTTCATTTTCTGTTAGATATTTTCAGGATACTTCATCCCGATAGCCCTAGTATTCATTGGCGACTGCAATGTTGTGTAATTTGCTTGACATAAACACACTGTGTTATTTCATGGAATCACCGTGCAGCAGAACTTCGGATTTCGGTTGCGTTTGGGGCTCTGTATTCTATTCGTTTCTGTCATAATTACATGTTTTCACCATTGCCTTTATCATTAATTAACTATCGGGTTTTGTTTTATGCTTTCTTTTTTCATCCCATTATTTTGTATCTCTTCTTAATTATGTTTATTTGTATTGCGATAATATGTCTTAGTTTGCCTGTTTTTCATGTTGCACATTAACAATAAACAGGAACATTGCTCATAAACATATCCAAACATTTGGCCGTGCCAACGGGAACTTTTCACTGCAATTTTATGTATTTAATCCTGATACCGTTTTCCAGGGCGGAACTAAAATGGGGGGGGGGACACAAACATATTTACTTTGTTTCCAACAAGGGGGTATGGTGTTGGTCCAGGGATGCCGCGATTCTTGAAGTAATTGAAGTTCCAGGTTCCATATCTGTAACAAACCAACCATTGTAATGCACGAAGCTCTAACGCCAAAGGCACTACAGCTCACACCTCGAGCGTGTTAGTGCCGCATTCTCAAAAATAATATAATCTACGTAGGTGAAAGTACCATCTACGTAAAAGATATATTTTCTTAGAATGCAGCACTTATACGCACTTATACTTTTGTGACTTGAAAACCAAGCTGAAAAATTACGAAATCTTCTTCATTCTTCACGAGATCGATAATTTTGGTAAGTGAATAGAGTGCCTTCAAAGAACTCGGTCGCTGGTTCGATCCTCTGAACACGTCATACCAAAAGACCCCGTGGGGATTTCTGGTTAGAAATACGTCCCAAGCAACCTTTGGTGACTGTAAGGGGTGAACCAATAGATCTGGTAGTCAGAATCGATGACTTGGTTGATAGCGTGGCATCGTTCCCATACTGCGTGAATCTTTGTTCACAACATGAATCACTGGATTGTCTGGCTCAGACTCGATTATTTGCAGACCGCCGCCCATCTTCCCGAGGCAAGGGAGTTACCTGACTGTAAAAGGGTGGCGCCCAGTCAATGCGATCTCATCGATAATCAAGATTTTTATTGCTATATAAAGGGTCTTACCTCGCGAAGTGCATCAAATCACTTGACCACCTGGATTTGAAATATGAAAAGGTGTATAAAATATCGACAGTGCACATTGACAGTGCACATGCTCAGCAAATGCTGCAATCGACAGAAATCTTCACGGCAACCGGGTGTCGATTTCGTTACGCTATTTTGATTGGACTATGCAGACTCGTTAGTCAAGCCAAAATATAAGTCCTTAATTCCAGCCTAGGAATTTTACAGTCGGTTAACTGGCTTGCCTCGGGAAGGTGGCTGCCGTCATGCAAAATAAATATTGCTCAGTGCGGCGTAAAACAGGAAACAAACAAGTCATTCCAAAATATGTAAACAAATGTACTTGGTGTTACCCTTGCATAAAGAGGCATAACGAGGACAAAACATTGACTGGTCGCATTGGAGACAGTATAACGTGTCTGAGTGTGGTATCCATGTTAAACTTCGTATCTCAGTGAACAAGCACTGTAAAATCGCCATGACGCCGTACAAGTACAAACACACACGTGCATGCACGTCGCTATATAAGTGCAAAATCTTAAACCCCATTTCACCTCACCTCTCGGTCAGTTCTAAATAAAGATTTGACCAGGCTCGATGGGATCGTTTTGACGCGACAATGACTAGACCGAGCAGCATGCACATACATGACGACCTCACCATGCAGCCTGTCAGATTGACCATGAGATAAGTGGTCCACCTAAAGCGTAATACATGTAAACCAGCTGTCTACTTACATATAGAGCAGCACAGCCCCCGCCACTGCCAGAAGCAGATACAGCGGGACGTCCACTAGCCCCAAGATCTCCATGTTGATGTGACGAGCAAGATCCTGCGAGCGTTTTCTTAATCCTCAAACTACAAGAACACACCCCGTCTTGGGCACAGCAGAGCAGCCACTATCCAGTGTTCAGAGGGTGACCTGCTTTTCGTGTACATGTGACTGATGACAGGGGTGTGCAAACTGCGCACTTAACAGTGTACTCAGTTTCTAACCCCTAGTGCGGCACGAGGGACGTAATCAGTTACATTTGATGTTAGTCCATTGTGATAAATATCTGAATCATGTAATAACGATTTCAAGAAATGCCGTACTATTATCACCAACTAGTGTCGGAGATTTCTAAACGCACAAATAAATATAATGGGATTATACAAAAATGTGTTTAACGTCAAAGCATAAGATTCATGAGGAATATTCTTGTCGAAATTACATTGAACACGTATTTCCATGAATGTACACTATGAGTTGATAGAAAGATTTCTTGATTTGGTGCTCAAGTGAGTGAGTGTAGAATTTGTCAGGAAACAGTTGCCGTCAGCATGGCTCGGACCCCCCTGTGTAATAGTCGTGTAATAGTCGTGTAATAGTCGTGTAATAGTCGGGTAATGGACGTGTAATAGTCGGGTAATAGTCGTGTAATAGTCGTGTAATAGTCGGGTAATAGTCGTGTAATAGTCGGGTAATGGACGTGTAATAGTCGTGTAATAGTCGTGTAATAGTCGTGTAATGGACGTGTAATAGTCGGGTAATAGTCGTGTAATAGTCGTGCAATAGTCGTGTAATAGTCGGGTAATGGACGTGTAATAGTCGTGTAATAGTCGTGTAATAGTCGGGTAATGGACGTGTAATAGTCGGGTAATGGACGTGTAATAGTCGTGTAATAGTCGGGTAATGGACGTGTAATAGTCGGGTAATGGACGTGTAATAGTCGTGTAATGGACGTGTAATGGACGTGTAATGGACGTGTAATAGACGTGTAATGGTCGTGTAATGGACGTGTAATGGACGTGTAATAGACGTGTAATAGTCGTGTAATGGACGTGTAATGGACGTGTAATAGACGTGTAATAGTCGTGTAATAGTCGTGTAATGGACGTGTAATGGACGTGTAATAGTCGGGTAATGGACGTGTAATAGTCGTGTAATAGTCGTGTAATAGTCGTGTAATAGTCGTGTAATAGTCGTGTAATGGACGTGTAATGGACGTGTAATAGTCGGGTAATGGACGTGTAATAGTCGTGTAATAGTCGTGTAATGGACGTGTAATGGACGTGTAATAGTCGTGTAATGGACGTGTAATGGACGTGTAATAGTCGTGTAATAGTCGTGTAATAGTCGTGTAATAGTCGTGTAATAGTCGTGTAATAGTCGTGTAATGGACGTGTAATGGACGTGTAATAGTCGGGTAATGGACGTGTAATAGTCGTGTAATAGTCGTGTAATGGACGTGTAATGGACGTGTAATAGTCGGGTAATGGACGTGTAATAGTCGTGTAATGGACGTGTAATGGACGTGTAATAGTCGTGTAATGGACGTGTAATGGACGTGTAATAGTCGGGTAATGGACGTGTAATAGTCGTGTAATGGACGTGTAATGGACGTGTAATAGTCGGGTAATAGTCGTGTAATAGTCGTGTAATAGTCGTGTAATAGTCGTGTAATGGACGTGTAATAGTCGAACTCGGCTACCGTGACGCATCATGGAACTATGTGAAATTAACCATTGAATATTTCCAAATATATATATTTTAAGTCTCAGAAAATATTAGCTTAAATGCTGTGCTATATTATGTTACTTATAACGAAGGTCATGATAAAGTAATAAGATAACAATTTTATGAGAAACCAAACTACAGGAGCATACACTGTAAACAGCCTTGTGCGGGGCTTTGTATTCCATACAATACGTATACAATCCATGTAATGCGCGTACACATGTTGTCAAAACATTTAGGACCCCGTGACTCATTGAGGACCCCACACACTAAGTCTTGCAAACTATATCATATCCCTGGTCCTAAAAACACCTTGGTCGAGAAAACTCAGGTATCTGAGGAGCGGTCGGGTAGCCTAGTGGTTAAAGCGTTCGCTCGTCACGCCGAAGACCCGGGTTCGATTCCCGACATGGGTACAAAGTGTGAAGCCCATTTCTGGTGTCCCCCGCCGTGATATTGCTGGAATATTGCTAAAAGCGGCGTAAAACCATACTCACTCACTCAGGTATCTGAGTTTGATTGCGAACAACAAAGTTGCGTAATCCTAATGCCAGATTCGCCCTGACTACAGCTTGTTAGCACCACCCGTGCTCGTCTTTTTCACCAAAGTAACGTCTACGTACGCGACTAAGACCTGCGCCGCTTCGGGGTTCCCTCACGCTAAGGCACCGTCATATAACTGTTACTGTTAATTCAAGCGACTTTGAACCAGTGTACAGTTTACTGGGGCCATACTGGAAGTGACGATATTGTAACCGTTACTATCTCATATTTTAAACTCTGCATAAGTACCCATGGAGATTCGCTTGGTCGTTAGTGAAGCTGGCGGTATTTTACAAATTGTTACATCAGATTTTATTGTATCGCTATCAAATGCAGAACTGCGCTTTCGTACCAACGGTAATTCACTGTGTCGACAGTGTAGCTGACGATATTTTACCAACTGTTACATCAGATACTGATTTCGTATGTAGGTTATCTTTATTGGGCTGGGGTGTGTTTTGGTGATTACGTTCAATAGTGAGTGAGTGAGTTGGGTTTAACGCCGCTTTTAACAGTATTCCACTTATATCACGGCGTGTCAGCTTAATGTGGGAGGAAAGCCCGAAGTGATGCAGGTCTCAGACGTTTACCACTTCGGTGAAACCCACGAGCACGGGTATGGTGCTGACAAACCTAGAAACATAATCGGGGCGAACCGGGATTCGAACCCACAATCATAGGTTTCTGGCGTGCCCAAGGGACGCAACTCTGCACAGCGAATCGCGGCGCCTTAGACGACTGGGCCACCCGTGTCCCCACGTTCAATAGGGCGTTGTATGAGTTGCATTTGGGTTTTTTAAAGTTATTGCCAAAGACACCCCTTTCCTTAGTAGAAATATCAATAGTACGGCCATATCAGTCAATCAACCAGACTATACCATGCATGTGTTTCAGTTACGACTAAATTATACACCTGTCTGTCCTTGCCCCAAACACTACAATGTCTTCGTGACTATTGATGAAAAGGGGTTTGTTTGATCACCATTTTATTTCATGGATGTGTAACTGTTAACATTGGCATGAATCTTATGGTAGCTGTGTACGATAGGCCGGGTGACATTGTCCCTCCTGATCCCATTTTCAGCATCTTGAGACGTTGAAAGTATTGAAAAGATTAAATCATTGAGAATATTAGCTGTATTGCAAAATTTTAACATATCTTGCGTAAGTTGGAAAATAATTTTGCCGAATCTTGTGTTCCACTGCAGTCAGGCACTATTTCACCTTCATCCTGGGGGCTTATTGTTACTATTGAGACAAGACCAGGCACACCAGGAACTGTTTGAGGTCGGTAGTGAGAGGAGGGCCTCAAAAGACCTGAAAGCCAAAAAATAGGCCGACTTGCTTCTCGTTTTCGGATATCAATTCAGTACAGGGCAGACGTGAATTCGTTCCACACTGTTCAAAGTCAGGATAAAACATATTCAGCGGGTGGATGGGTGGATTTGAACACGTGATGGTGATGTAGGACCAGCGGGTGGATGGGTGGATTTGAACACGTGATTGTGATGTAGGACCAGCGGATGGGTGGGTGGATCTGAACACGTGATGGTGATGTGGGACCAGCGGCTGGATGGGTGGATCTGAACACGTGATGGTGATGTAGGACCAGCGGCTGGATGGGTGGATCTGAACACGTGATGGTGATGTAGGACCAGCGGCTGGATGGGTGGATTTGAACACGTGATGGTGATGTGGGACCAGCGGGTGGATGGGCGGATGGGAATTGAACACGTGATGGTGATGTAGGCCCAGCGGGTGGATGGGTGGATTTGATCACGTGATGGTGATGTAGGACCAGCGGATGGGTGGATTTGAACACGTGATGGTGATGTAGGACCAGCGGGTGGATGGGTGGATTTGATCACGTGATGGTGATGTAGGACCAGCGGATGGGTGGATTTGAACACGTGATGGTGATGTAGGACCAGCGGGTGGATGGGTGGATTTGATCACGTGATGGTGATGTAGGACCAGCGGATGGGTGGATTTGAACACGTGATGGTGATGTAGGACCAGCGGGTGGATGGGTGGATTTGATCACGTGATGGTGATGTAGGCCCAGCGGGTGGATGAGAAACACAGATGGCCTTGCTTCACCAAGGGGGTAAAAACCAGGGGATCTAACAGAAATACTGTTCAAAGGTATTTGAACCACTATCAAATATTGGTCATTAAAGCCATGTAACTTGTAATTGCATCAACATTTTCATTTGCTTAAAAACAAACCAAATCGGTTACAACATGACAAGAACTGTGTCGCAAGTATGGTCATCCAGGTATTCTCCTCGCTCAATGTACTACGTGTGTCATGATGTCAATCACTTGATTGTCTGATCCAGATTAGATTATTTACATACCGCCGTCATGTAGCCGGAATATTGTTGAGTGCGGCGTTAAACAACAAACAAACAAACTTCCAGGCAATCCAAGTTTCGCATGCTGACGATGCCGTTATATCTTGTTGAACCCGTTGGGTTAGAATTGATCCTCAGTAACATGTGCTTGTCGTACACGTGTCTCAGTGGAACGGGCGGCCAGTCCCGGTGACCTGGCAGACTGCTTTGAGACGTTAACGTTGCTTAAAATATCAGACAATGGTTTGTCTGGCACAGATGCGATTGCATAAAAGCTGCCGTCATATGGCGTGAATATTTCTGAGTCCGACCTCAAACAACAAAGACAAAAACAAACCTCGCTACGTATCCGCACATTGCTTTATTGTTCATTGACAGGAAAGGCTGGATTAAGAGATATGGGAAAACATTGTTTTCGTGTAACCCCAAAACGGGGCCGCCTGCTCGGCTTGGGTCGAGCAAGACGGGGTCGCCAGCTCGGCCAAAGGCGGCATAACGAGTGAGGCGGTTCCGTGATAACTGTTTATGTTAAATCGTTTACTATG